AACTGCTGTATGAAAAGTGAATTTACTCTGTAAATCTTCACCCAAATCAAAATAAAATTAAAAAAAAAAAAAAAAAACTTCCAAAAGGCAAAACTTGATTTTTATAAATCAGTGTCACATAATGGCCCATAAAAACACTGGCAACATACCTGGAATGTTCCCAAAGTCCCTGAAGATACGGAAGTCCGTATCTGAAGGAATGATTCCACTTTGAAACACCTCCTGAGCCACCACAGAAGCAAAGGGATGTCTGGCTGCTGAAACATAAGCTTGGACCAACCAAGGATTTTCAGGACCTGAAATGAAACATGAGAACACAAAACAAGGTTAATCAGGTAATTTTAATATATTCATTTTTTTAACAGACCCACTCCTCACTTATTGACAGGATTAGGTTCCAAACACCAGGTCATTATGCAAATCAGTGTTATGCAAGAGTCAGGGACCATGCCCAGTCTTCAGCGCCAATGTCTCTATCTTGGTTGCTCATTGCCCATCTAGTGCCCCTGCCACATCTCAGGATATGCATAGCATGGCAGGCTCCCCTCCCTATCACCATGGAACCTGTGGTGGTGGTAGGATATTGCCCTCTGCCTGCTGCCTCCCACTGTCTGCCCTGGGCAGGTATCTCACTCATCCCCCATCTGCCTGGCCCTGCAGCCCCCTGCAGCTCCCTTCCCAGCTCCCCCCACTGACCTCAGGCCTTTGCCTGGCCTCCTCCTCCTGCCTGTCTATGACCTCATGTCATGCCAACATGACCCCATGTCCTTCGTGGCCAGATTGAGACATTGCAGACAAATGGGAGAAGGCATCTCACACCCAGCTGACCACCATCCCTCTTGTGACCTGGTTGTTACCAGGGTCCCCAGTATACCGTTTAGGGTGGCTCACAGATAGTGCCCCATACCCAAGCCAAGGCCCTGCATGTGGCTCAGATCACTGGAAGTGCCACCTGATAATTTTTTCGAAGTTGCCATAAATATAAAATGTCAGCTGAGGAGACAGTCACAATCCTTGAGAGAGGAAAAGGTGTACACCTAAAATGTACCAATAACAAATTTCAAAGGATTGGAATAATACAAAGTATTTTCTCTGACCACAGTGGAATTAAACTAGAAATCAGTAACAAAAACATAACTAGACAATACATAAATGTCTGAAAATTAATTTGTACACTTCTCAATAAATATTGGGTCAAAGAAGAAACCACAAGGAAAATTAGAAAATGTTTTGAACTGAGCAATAATGAACATAGGACACATCAAAACTTACCAGGCACAGCTAAAGTAGTGCTTAGAAAAATATATCAGAAAAAAAATTATATGCTGAAAAGCAATGATTTAAACCACTGGTACTTGAAGTGTGGTTCCCAGAACAAAGCAGCAGTGGTATCAGCATCACCTAAGAATCTGTTAAAATGCAATTTCTTGGACCCCAAACCAGACCTTTGGAATCAGAAACTCTGTGGCTAGGGGGCTCTGTAAAGTGTTCTAACAAGCTCTCCAGATGATTCTGATACTTTCTCTAGTTTGAGAACCACTGATAGAGGCATCTCAAGAAGGTATTATTATTACTTAAAGTCAAACACAAAAGGACAAATATTGTATTAGTCCATTATTGTAAAAGTCAAGGAAAGATTTATCTATGGAAGGAAATTTTCTTTGTTGGTTACCAGGGGTGGGAGGGAAGGGGAGGGAATACTGTTAGAGAGATAGATGTAAGTATTGATTTGGATGAAGAGAAGGGCAATGTACCAAATGTGAGTGATCAATATGGTGGCACTGAGGAAGAGAAAAACAGAGAGAGGTACGTGGGAGGTACAGACTAGAAAGATGAACCCTTTTGCACATACAGTACTGTGTTGTCAGTGAAGGCAAACATGGGTATACAGGTGGACAGATAGGTAGACAGGATGAACTACTAGGTATGTCTATGAAGTGGGGAGTATATCGAAGAACATGTATAGGCTTGGCAGACAATAGCCCTATAAGTTTATGTGAATGATCAGAATTCCCAGCTGTATAGTAGAGCTGACAAGGGGTAAGGTTGTAGTCACTGCTTGGTCACAACCACCCACCCAGAGGGACTGAGTAGTGGAACCTGTGGGCTCGGGACCATAATCGCAGGGGACATCAAGCTTAATTGGCATAACATACTATACAAAACATTGTTCCACCTCCTACTTTCGTGAGTAGCGACTGGGATCTTAAAAGCTAGCAAGCTGCCATCTAGATACAACGATGGGTCTCTCCTCGTCCAGAGCAAAGAATGAAAAAAAAACAAAAATTCATGGAAATAATTAGTCCTAAGGACTGGTACACCATCCGATCTGCAACCTATACGACTATGAGACCAGAACTAGATGGTGCCCGGCTACCACTGTCATCCACTTGGAAGGGATGTAGGAGATCCTGGATAGAGAGGGAGAACAATGTGGAACAAAACTCAAAATCATTTGGAGAAAAAAAAAAGGGGGGGGGGGACCAGGTTTGCTGGTCTGACAGAACCTGGTGGATCCACTGAGACTATGGCCCCTAGATGCCCTTCAGGTCTGGAATTGAACCCACACTTGTGGCTTCCAGTCAAACAAAAGACAGGCATATGAGTTGAACATCTGCTTGAGGTAGATACACTCCTTGGAGAGAACAATCATGGGAGAAAGAAAGGCTGCTTATACACAAGGAGACAGCTCAGGGGGCAGGAGTGCATGGAGGGATGGACACAGGGAAGAGGTAACTATGGGGAGAAGTGGGAGGGGAGCTGTTGCATTGTGGTAAATTGTGGTCAATGTCATGAGACAAAGTGTATGTGACCTGCTGTATGGAAAGTGAATTTGCTCTGTAAATTTTCACCCAAATCACAATTTAAAAAAAAAAGAATATACCACAAAAAAAAAAAAAGGAAATTATGCTGTGGTGGTTGCTGGGTACCACTGTTGATTCCAACTCATAGCAACCCTACATGACAGAGTAGAGCTGCACCATAGGGTTTCTTAGGCTTTGATCTTCATGGGAGCAGACTGCCATCTTTTCTTCCACAGATCCGCTGGGTAAATTCAACCACCAACCTTTCAATGAGTAGTCAACTCTTAATCATTGTGCCATCAGGGCTCCCAAACAACAGAGAAAACAGGCAATAATAAAATAGAAAATAAGCATATGCAGTGTAGTAAATTACTTAGTGTGGCTTTTCTACCCATAAGTCTTTGGAAATTCCGAGGTGGAATTTGCCATGAGCAACTGAAGAGCTCCTGATTGTTAAAGTTGTCCACCTGGGGTATTTCTGTTGGGTGTAGCACTAAACAATGTTCTGGGAGGTTCCTGCTCTCTCTCAGGTGTTTTGAATTCTGATGTTATGATTGGTTGGTTTGGCCACTCTGCCAGGCTCAAAAGGAGGCCTCCTAGAGGCAGAAGTCTCTGACTGCTGGCTGAGGAAGGATGCGCCCCTGAGAGACATGCGCTGCTGGTAAAGAGACACAAGAGACATGCATTGTTATCAGAATAAAGCAAAAAAGAAACCCTCAATCAATAATCTCAACAGAATCCTCTAACAAGAATAAGAAAAGTCAGCACCTATTCATGATTTTAAAACTCTTAGCAAACTAGAAACACCAAGGGACACACACCACTGGGAGAGAGACTGTGAGAGATGGCGGGCTGGGAGAAAGACTGAGCATTTTTCCTGAACTTGAATTGTAGCCTGGTGCATCCCTAATAAACCCCATAATCTGTGAGTTCTGTGTGGCCACTGCAGTGAATTCTCGAACCCAGGAGAGAGGTGGTGGGTGCTTTG